ATACATCATACATGAAGAAGAATTGTCAAAGTTGAATAAAATACTTGCTGGGAGTGAGATATGAGGCTCTTTTCGGGACCACCTCCGGCGTTGTTTTGAAAAAAAAGCTGTCCAATTTTCGGCACTTCACTATTCACCATAAAATTTTTTTTTGAAGTTATGTTTACATGTTCTAGATGGTTTACGTCATAATGAAGGTATGCCAATAGTGAAAACAATTTTTGCACTAATCTGGTAGAAATACAGAGGGTACTGCCCAGTTACCCCACCGCCCAGTTACCCAACCTCACCTTAGTGCAGCGTTCTTAGGGGTAGGAACGGATGAAGTTTCAATTTTTATAACTTTAGTTAGGAGCTTTGGCACGTTATCCACTCCTGGAGCCATGTGTTCCTTTGATGCAATTTAATGCCGCAGAGGACAAAAGCCTAAAAGACATTTGTTGCTTTCACGCACCACTATGCATTTAAGAAGGAACTGTGCTGTTTGCTTCTATATGAGACTGAAAAGTTGAAAGTTCGCAGGCATTTAATTTGGCCGAAACCTTTTCTAGAGAAGTATTGCACATTACAGGGATTTTAGAGACTTTTCTAGCCACGATCAACATATTTCCAGAGGAAGGAGTCCATCATTTGAGAATGGAACCTCATATTAAAATGACCATGGAAAAATTGAAGATTAAAAATGGAGGCTACTTAGGTCAGTAAACTTCATCTTTAATGCTGAATGAGAGGGAATTTTAGTGTGCATGCAAGGGTCTCATATTTGAACAGATAAGTCCAGTGGTCAGATGCTATATACATTTATTTTCACGAATTAGACGGTTACAAGTAAAACAATACATGACTAAAAACACAGCAGAGTTATAATACTAGAAATAAATTATAGTCATATTGAGAGAAATCCCTACATACGTAATTGTAATATTTAAAATTAATTGTTAACAGTAACAATAGATCTTCAAGATGATATAACATGTAAATACAAAACAGCAAAATCGCCAGTTTTTCACAGTATTGATTAGAAAAATTCAGAGAACATTGATGTAGAAGATAATGTTCACAAGATTAGAGAAAATGGACTTGTCGTGAAACTCTGAAAGCTTTACCTAACAAAATTTTAGTTTTTATAAAAAAATATTGCTTGGAGCAAAAAAAAAAAAATTATTGGAGCTGGAAAAAAGGTGGCTTTGAATTTTAAAAACATTGTAGTGAAATATACAGATGGTAAGAGAAAAGAGGATTTGAGAATGCACTTTCAACTGAGATCAACTGATGAATGGATGAACATTTTTTACTTTAAAACCCAAGGGAAATTTATAATAGCTTTCCACACAAGCTTTAAAATGTTAACACAGCTTCATTGAGGTACCTTTCTTAGCTACAGTTTTCTCTTAACTGGAGACTGATAAATCTTGAGAGAATTTCAGTGAACGACAAGGGGCAAAAATAGAGCATAAGTAAATTAACAGTCTTTGTAACAATTCCACTCTGTTCACTGAGTTGATTAAAATAAATTAAGTACCTACTAAAGAAATACACTTAAAAAAGAATCTAATTGATGAATTGATGATAGGAGAAAAGGAAGAGAAGAATGATAAATTAATCTCAGCCCTTCAACGGACTAACATCTTACATTTTTTTTTTTTTTTTTTTTTTTTTTTTTTTTTTTTTTTTTTGCACAAATTTACTTATCATAATATGCACTTGTTTTACTGCAGGCAGTTCCCATTTAAGAAAGAACATGAATTAAAGAAATTGATCTCAAATTACGCTAGAAATTAAGATCAGAACTAACCAGATAAGGAATGAGAATAGGGATAAGGAAAAATAAGAAAAAAAATAGTCCTCAAAAAGACATCAGATTAAAATTTGAACAAGGTTAGAAAGTCCTAAAATTTGATAAATGAATTTGGAATGTAAAATTGATTGATCAACAAGTAGGGGCTATAAAAATAAGGAATTCTTCAATAGATTTGGGATGCATGATATTGGGATTTTGAGGAGATATGTATCTTCAAATTTGGATTGGATACATCAGCGATGAGAGTAAAAAATATTGTTTCTTAATTTGGAAGAAAGCAGTATCTTGTTCATAAAATATTCTGAGTGGGAACTAAAGTTTATGAGTTGAGTATAACTGTATACTTATGTGGAGAAGTTGAACTATTTTTGACAAAAAAGCAAGATTTTTTTCTTAGATAAGGGATGCAACAATTCAAAACGAAAGGATGACAAGAGGAATACATGATGAGTGCACTTAATCGGCACTAGAACAAAAATGTAAAGCTGGAGGGCAAAATGCTCTCAGTTAAAGCCTTGTTTCCTAAAGGTCCAGATGGTTTGGACAAATGTGTAAAACAAATGAAAGGCAAGGGAGAATGGTGATAATTTCTCATTTTGAAGATGACCTCCAGGTATAACACTGATAGTGAAGAAATTAGAAGCTCCAAGGAGCGTAGTTCAATCAATAATGAATTCAACATTTCTTGATTGGAGGAATGGGACGGGAAGGGGGTTACAATGCTGTATGAAATATCAATTTTAAGCAAGCTTGATATCATTTAAATGCAACGTGCACACAAAAAAGTGTGATTGGTTAATACATACTTACATTAAGTAAAAATGAAAGAATACATTGATGACTCATTAATTGCAAATTTAAGAAATTATTATTCTCTGCTGTAACTTGGATGAGATTTCATCCATTAAATCTGTGCGTCAGAGCTTGAACAATGACTGTTTAGAGGGCTCACTTGCACAACTCATTAAACGCATGGACAAAAATAACTTTTAATCAGAATAACATTCATGCTGCAATGAAGGATTCATAGAAAACACTGGTGTAACTACGTCTTTCATCTCAATAAGATGGGACAATTATTTAAATTAACTTATTACAGGCTCAACATCTTCAGAACGAAGGTGGATTAAAACTTTCCCTACATTCTTACTTAGATATGGAAAAAATTAGGATTTGCTGTTTTACTAATTGTAAAATGTTTTTTTTCAAAAAAAATTTAAAGACTATGCTCCTTAACTGGTGATGTGATGTTTAGCAGTTAGCTTTCAGGAGCCCAAAATCTACAAAAACGTACCCCATATACAAGTAGCTGATGGATTCTCTTAGCTAATATGAGTCTCTATTACTTTAGCTGTCATGGATCCAGAGATGAAAAAGTCTTGCCCAGTGAGTTGTAAATAAACTCAAAATTATCCACTCAACTCTAGGAAATGTGAGTTCTGTGAGAGATAAGAACTATTGCACAGCATAGCTTATACAGAAATGCAAAAAAGCTATACTACAAAACTACGGTCAATGGTGTGCTCTTGAGCTCTCTTTGAAACTTTTAGACACATTCAAAACATTATCTAGGTGTTTGACAGAACCCTACAAACTTTGATAATTAATCCAATTCCTATGGAAAAAATGGATAGTGGTATAAAGTAGCCTATACAATTAAATCTCATGTTGCGGATGAAAGATGCACAAATTAGGAGTTTTGTACACTTAAATAATCTTTTAGACCTTATTAAATCAACTGAATAATTGGAGAGTTGAGGAAAATTCATGAGGAAAAAAATAAAGATATTGCAATAGCTTTCAAAAGACAAAATCAGCTTTATCTCAGAGAAGGTGTGGTCAACATCTTTAGATTAGGATGTAATGAGAAATGCGGTTGATGACACCCTTGCTGAGTGGCAGGATATTACTTAAAATATAAGAGACATCTTTTCAGCATTGATACACATTATTTTACCATTGTTTGTCACCAATAGCATTCGGTTAGAAATTTATTTATCACATATTTTATCATGAAATGCATCTTCAAGCACTGCTCAACCTAAAAATCGAGGACTTTATTCGAAAATCACCTATCGCCTTAAATATTCTTAAACTGCATAATTAAAGTAAGCAACTCTAAAGAACGACAGGTCCTTAATTTAAATACTAATTATTTCACAGACGGACCAAGAAAAAAAAGAGAAAAGCATAACATGATACAATGATACAATAAAACACATTTTCATTAAAACAGGTAGATGACAAGATGTCCAAAAAAATTCAACAAAATTCACATTAGCCTTCGATTTCATTGAAATAAATTTATTCTGTCTCTAACTGCTGTATTGTGTTATCCTAAAATAATCAATTTGGACAGAGGTAATACTTGTTTGCCGTTTGGTGACAGCTGAATAAATGTTTCTGCATAAAAAATGGATGAGAAAAAGAAAATATAAACTTAGATGATGAAGAAAATAGGTTGTGACCATGCCAGTTGTTGATGTAAAAACTCATCTTGGGATCATAAAAGCCATGAGGTACTTAGCTGAACGAGCCAAAATGTAACAACTAGTTTTCAGAAAATACAAAAGCTTAGAGGCCAATCATTGACTGCTGCATTAGCTTTTTATTGGATACAATTTTATTCTCAAGGATGTATTGAGCTGCTGAATAGTGCTAATTAGTTGAATTTTCTGGTATGTTCGCTTTAACAATCTATCCGAGTGAGGAGAAAAATCTGAAGAGATTTAGCATTAAACAAAAAAATCATTTTACAAAAAAGCATGAGGTTGAACTGATGCAATAGTAAACTCAAACAATAATCTAAGTAAAAAATTGGGAAAACAAGATGGTTTTTCAATGATAAAAATGGTTGAAATTAGCTGTCACATTGATAATCATCAAAATTAAAATTGAGGAAGTAAATCTACTTCCTCAATTTTAATTGAGTTTGTTCCTTGCTTGACTCTTTGCCTAATACAATTTTACAAAATATCAAGGTAAAGTACCCTGCTACATTAATAATGAACCTGGAAAGTTTAATAGCTGTGGATAGAAAAGTTTTTTCCTCGTGATTTTGAAAAATTACTTGAAAGAAAAATTACTTGAAAGAAAAATTACTTGAAATATTTTCTTCTTCACTACTCTTGCAATTAAAATGTTGATTTTTCAACTGTAACATGAAAAATTATGATCCTAACTGCCATTGAATTGGATTTAATATTGTGGTAAACGGTATATTTGCTTGAAATGGCATATTACAACATGGGTGAATGGGCTTTAACTAGAACAAGAGAGAAATAAAAACAATTTCACATAAGATGGAGGAAAAGATTATGATAAGCGGCTTAAAAGATATATTATATAACAAGCAACAAGATTTTTTAGTATCTGACTAATTTTTACACATTTTATCATTTGAGAGTTTGATACATCTATAAGGTTTTGTACTCAACTGTCTTGCTGAGGCACGCAAGATGAGAGGAGAATGTAATATCAATCAACAATTTGACACTTTTTTGACCTTCAACGATTTCTTGGGAAAATTTTAGTTGCTAAGACAACTCTTTTTAACAAATACCTAGGATCTATGGAGAGTTGTCAAACACCACTATCAAAGCGATTAGATGAACCAATAGGTTGTGCACTATCGACTAAATTTGCTCGAGAACCGATTGGCACTCCTCCTGTTGGGTACTGTTGATGAGGTAAATTGCTAGGGGGCGTAATGGCGGATGCTGCATTCCTCATTTCCTCTGCTGATGCTCTGCAAGTGAAGAGAAGAAGAGCAAATGAATTAAAGAACAACACAGGTATACATGGGGGTGCATGGTTGCAAAAAGTTGAAAAGGTAAAGTGTATTGTACATATCATTCTCATCATGGTTAAACTCTTTCATTTAGAAAATGATTAATATCAAATGCAATTAGAATAAAGTGTAGATTTTTTGGCAAAAGGGGGCACAGGTGATACATTAAATAGAAACAAATACAGGATAGAGTGCAGTGAAACTAATTACAAAGAACTTGTGAATAAATCTAATGCACAAAATCGAATCAACTTGCTGATATGTTTACCAAGGGCTCCTTACTGTACCTTTTCCCCGATTTTTTTCTTACCTCTTTGATCAGCAGTTTATTGGGGATCTTCGATAATAAGTTGAGTGATAATTGCACAATTATCTGCAATTTTTGGTAATTTTGCAGTGAAATGAATGCTTCTTTAGTGATACTAATAGATTCAATCTAAAATATTGTCAGTTGAAAATGTTTTATTAAAAATTCACAAGGCCTTCATTCAATGTTGGTGATACAGCTCCTTACAACAACGAGCTTGAAAGGACGTTCAATTCTTTAAAAATTTTTTTTAAAAAAGAAAAGAAAGAAAAAAAAAAAACACTTAGAGCGAGTTAATTTCTTTTAAAGATATAGAAAAAAAAGACAGAGGGTCATCAAGGTTATCATGGGGGTCTTCTGAGCTTGATTTACAATCACACAATTCCATAATTGGCAATATTCCAATTAACAAGAACATGATTCTCCTCGATAAAATTAAAATATTTAAGGTGATAAATGAAAAAAATGCCTTCAAAAGTATAGAAAATTAAATTCTATTAAGTCCAAAACTAAATAGATGCTGTTCCCATAGCCTTTTCAGTGAGCAAATATTATGGACAACCTTTATTACCTGATATAATGCATGCACAATTTATCAAAAGAACAATTTAGACCATAACTTTTGGAGGGAGATAAAAACTTAGAGACAGGCAAGGCATTTTGGGTACGCAAAGAGAGACGTAATAAATACTACAATGACATTGTACTGTGCGTATGCAAATTCACCGAACAACTATGTACCTTCTCAAAAAAATTAACATGCATGTAAGCAAATGGTAGTTGGGCATCAACATTTGTGATGTTCAAAGGCAATGTAAAGAGACAAGGTGCAAGCATTTAAAGACATAGATGTTTGACTAAGTTCAGGAGAAAAACTCGACGAGGACAGTAAATCAAGATGATATGATGAAATCAAACTGTACTTTTTTATCTGTATTTTATAATTTCTTCTCAGAAATTTTACGCCCCCCCCCCTCATCCCAGCCCAGGAAACATAATTTTCTTCAAGGATGAAATCTTCAGGCCTATTTTTCTATTATAAAAAAAGAATTAGAGTGCTCAAAAATTTTATCCGTTTTTAGGGACTCAATTTACAATGTGAAAATTGGAATTTTCATGATTAGTGAGTCACCAGCAGTAGAAGTTTACAGCTTCGATATAAAATTAAGGGATGCCCATCTCTAAAAATGGTCCGATCAGGTTGCATTTTGAATACTATGTACACCTACCTTACAATTTTCACTAAGAGCACTAGTCCATATTTTTCTTAAAATTATTTTACCATAAAAATACAATTACTACTTTTTTTTTACTCAAGGCAGAGGTGCAAGAAATCTCATGACCCCAACAATTTCTAGTTATTTGACCTTTAGTCTCATTCTCATGGCAAAATTTACGATTAGGCACGCAAAGACTCAGAGAGATTACTTTTTTGAAAATTGTCTCAAGGCATTAGATTTGCTTGTTTCCTTCAATTTAAAGATCGAGAATAAAATGTACATCTCATAAACATGATCTGATTGTGCCTAACTTTGATACAGCTTCATTTTTTATACTGCTGAATTTTTACTAGGATTCTAAAACTGAGGCAAAACGTGTTTTTTTTTTTTTTTTTTTTTTTTTTTTTTTTTTTTTTTTGTATCACCTTCATATTGCATCGTAACATTCCTTGAAAGTCTCAGTTGACTTTGGTAATTACTGTAAAATTAGGCAGGAAAGGGCCCAAAACTGATTATTACTGAGTGGATAGAGCAAGTTCGAAGGTTTATTCAAATAATGAGTAAAAATGAAATTACTGAAGCAGTTGAGTGATTTTTGATAACTAAAAATGATACTCCATGCTTCAGCAGTTGATCAGTTAAATGAACTGGACTAAATGAAAAAATACTTCTCCCATAATTTGATTCCCAAATTCCCACAAATGAAAATGGGGAATCTCACGGCAAAGTACAGAATACTTCAGAAGGTATGACATAAATAAGATCATCTAAATTATCTATTATTATCAACTACAAATTTTACAGGAAAATAAGAATTCTAATATTGACAGTTTTTTACAACAAGCAGATGCAATTCACCTAAAAAAAGGTAAAAACGGAAAAGAAAATGCAACATAGGTGTGCAAATGCAAATGTTAATATATTATTGCCTTTCAGATGTGTTAATGAGATTCTTATGTTGGACGCCACACGTCAGGATCTTCCATTAAAGTGGAATGGTGATCACTAGAGGGTGGAACGACAGAAGTCGGAGAGGCAACAGCAGCCATGTCAGCACGAGTTCCTCTGTGTAATTTATTAAAAATTATTATAGTTGTCTGCACTTAAAAATACATGATTTGTTAAACATGATAGTTTTTTCTTATGATTACCAAAACTCATCATTTGATCATATCATACATTTGTTTTTCGTTTTTTTTTTTAAAACAAATTTAGAAAGGAAGAATGACAAAATTGATTCATTTTTAAAGTTGGCTATTTTTTAATTATTTGGTCATTTTTGCCCAAAGAGTTTGACAGAGGTACAAATATTGTTAGTAAGATGCCTATTCAACGAATAGGGTAGACCGACATACTTAATAAGAGAGATAAGAAGGGGTTCTCCTTCTAACAACTTTGAAAATCTGAAAAAATTAGCATGTATTGACATTGAAAAGATGATTGAATTGTAGTGGTATAAAAGATTTAAATTCTTTAAAGGGGTCAAAATTTGTTTTATTTTTGCTTCCCACCTTACTTATTACCTAGTTGCTACCCATTTACCTGATTATTAGCTTCCTGGGGTAACAAACGAGGTACTCTCTAATTCTTATATTTGATAAAAGAAAAATCTGGGAGGGGAATAAGAATAAAGTTCAATGTCTTTCTCAAATCCCTGCCAAATGGGCCTGTTGCTAACTTTTCCTACAGCAAAAATAAGAGTTATTTCTTATAGATTATACCTCAAAAATCATGATGAGCGCATCGGCAAAATCTGAAATGCACTCATAACTTCACAATCTGCAAGAGAAATTTGCGGTTTTTTGAGTTTCCCGCTTCAAAAACGATATGACGGCACAGGTGAACATTTTGTTAGAGTCGTTCCGTCGTCGGCAATACTCATCATAGCCGACGCTTCCGCAGTTCCGTGGGAAGTTCGAGAAGAGATCAAGGTTAATTAAGGTGGGCGAGGAAAATATGAACGTAAACATGCTGTTTGTTATCTGGTCTTATCCTGGTCAGGTGTTATCTCGTTCCGTTACACATGTTTTGGCGGAATTGGCATCAGCCATAAGGAGTATTGCCAACTACGAAACGACTCCTCTAACAAAATGTTCACCTGTGCCGTAGTATTGGTTTTGAAGCGGGAAGCTCAAAAAAACCGGCAATTCCTTATGCGGATTGTGACGTAATGAGTGCATTTCAGAATTTGCCGATGCGCTCATCATGATTTTTGAGACATTATCTATGAGAAACAACTCTCATTTTTGCTCCAGCAAAAGTTTGCAACAGGCCCATTTCAAGCTTGTTGGATGAAAATTGCTCAAGTTATGAAGTTTATGATATTGAAGGAGCCAAGTTCACAAATTTAATTTGGAAAATGGTGTATATTTTTAACTAGGAGAGCTCCAAAAGTCAATTTAAATTGGTAAAGCCATTTTTATTTTACTTCTTTATCTACTTTCTTTTTTTCCTGTGTCCGAAAGGGCTCTGTACGGTACGTGTTTGTGATCACACAAGCTAGATAGTTGTGATTATGTCTTCAGAATAAACATTTGTAATACATTACTGGAGACAAAAGTTTTTTTAACTAATGATTATGTCCATGCTTCAATGAGGATTGACAGTCTGAGTTTTCTCAAAGCTTTTGAAAAGTTGTCATGATCAAATCATGTTTTTTAAAGTAACTTGTCTCTAAACTGCTTCTTGCATTACAATTTATTTTATTTGGGAGCACTGTCAGCAACATGAAGAAGCATATTTTGTTATTAATTTAAAGTTTCCTTTTGAATATGTGTTAGATATGCATAGTTAGTCTATCATTCTTGGAAGCAATTAAAGACAGTGGGATCATTCCATATAACACTTGATAGGAAAAAAAAAAAAATAAGATGTGAAATTTAACTTATACTCACTTTTTTCCAAGAGCCATCATTCCGTATATAATTCCGGTTCCAAAAATTAAACCACTACCCATTAGTGTAGAAAGTCCAGGACACATGAAAATAGCAGGAATACCAATTCTGAAAATTGAAAGAAAGGTCATTATGGGTACCTCGTTTAACTCCATAAAAAATGGCAGAGAGAATAGAAAAAAATAAAGTGAAGACAATGATTCCATAAAAAATATTGCTAGGCCATTACCTAGGTACATAATAACATACATTCGAGAGGCACACTTATTTAAGATACAGGTCGATCTCCGTCCAATCAAAATTAGTAATTACATACTACAACCAGATCTAAGGAATGAGTTGAAAAAGATGACAAGTAAAATGTCATACAGAAAAAATATACAGTTTGGTAAAACTGAAAACTTGACAACTATCACAGAGCCTATGTACAAAAAGATAAAAAGATTGTAGATTAGGAAGAAGCACAGGAAGAGGAGAGAAATTCTGGAACGGAACGTTAAAAAATATTATTGGGGTTCACACCTGAGTGTACTAGCTGCTCTTTTCTGTATTACGGCTAAATAGAATACTGAGAATTTATCTGATAATAAGTAACACGACTTCTTTAAGAGGGAATGAACAACAAACAAGAAGATATACAACAAGAGAGGAATTAACTTACACCATGTAGAATGCGGCTCTATTCCAATAGGGTCTTTTATCAACTTTGTCACTTATTGTTTGTACATGGTCTAGGAAAACACAGCAACACGGGGCTTCAATGACAATGGTTGCAAAACCTGCCAAACTGTAAACATAAACGAAAGGAATTGAAAACAGTCTCTCGACAAAATTTTGGTTTGAATTGGAAATTTTTAATTGGCTTACTGTTACAACTCAGTAGTCATTAGCATGCAAGTCTGGTATTACCTACAAATTTACATAAAACTCATTTAGCCTCTTTTTTTCATAGCCTTTACTTAAAAAGCTTTGAGTCATTTCCCAGGTTTTAGGTAGGGTTTCATCAAATATAAAATGAAAATTCATTCTTTTGTTCGTCGATGTCATTCTTGTTGAAAGATTACAGCAGCGTGAAACATGCTGAATGAATAAAATCACTAGAAAAACGATGCAAGGCAAAAAAAAAAAATGCTTCAGCAAAACAGCCATTAAAAAATTTTTGAATCGGTTTTATGCACTGGAGGTTGGCATATGAATCAATAAGAGATACTTGAGACTCACTAAAAAGGAGAGGTCAATACTGTAAAACAGACGACAAGAGTCACAGTCGTCCAATTTGCTCTAGGTCTTTCCTCGTATACTTCGCGTTGGACAGGGCTCTAAGTATTATTGCCAAAAATTTCTTATTTTCTTTACTTCCTCTAATTCATATTTGACTTAGTACAAGAAAGAGCACAACAAGATGCTGCAAGGGATGTGAAAAAAAAGCATTAAACTTACATCTGCCACATGCCACCTAGTAGACATTGAACATCTGCAAGAAGGATGCCAAGGCAGGTCCATAGTCCGAGGAAAATTGCAACTGAAACATCAAAAAATGCGGTATATTATTGTGAGTTTCATTTCTTGAGTGATCAATTTTATAAGCTTTGGCATCAAGCTATTCAAATTATTGTAGAGTTTCACTTATTGGACTTTGATTTCCAGTTGGTTTCAAGATATTTTTAGTGCAACAAATCACTTTTCAAAGAATTTTTTTTTTTTTTTCAATTTAGAAACAGATAATTAGACGATTCCTTTCTTTGAGCTGATTTGGAGCCTTTGTCTTAAAAAGCTCTTAAACATTTAATGAATGGTGGTATCATTCGATTTTTAGCATGAAAAAGGTTGTATGATAGTTTCCATCTAGTTCGATGTTGTTAAGGAAAAAATATTTCTACACAAGACTCGACAGCTTACAGGAAGTCAAGGGTTCAGTAATTATCAGTGTCAAGAAAATGGAAGTTTCCAGCTGCTGTCAAAATGATAGTGGAAGATTAGGGCTCTATTAAGGGAACTCGAATTATCAATCAACAAATTCATTAGCAGAAATCCATCGGCAGCCATTTCAAGATCCACTTGCCTCGTGGCAATGCCATCAAAACAATTTTGCTACATCGTTAAAATTAAATAGGTATTCCAATGAAAGCAATGGTTGCAGAAAAATTATGATACCTCTAATCACTGAATGGTGTCACCAAATCAACATGTCGTAACCCTATCTATCTACCGTATAATTGTTGATCTCTCTGTATTACAATGATGTCACATTTGAATCAATCTATGGGCAGTTGAGCTGCAAGTTTCTGAGACCTCAATTTTGGGTCTAGCCCTCCTGTCGGGGATTTGAGAAAAACACAATACTTACTAAAAATTTTGATACTTACATCCACCACCAACTGTGCCTAATCCTCGACCAGCATACTTCATCCAAGTTGGGACTTCATCTTTATCAACGAGATCCTCATTGGGTCTTTGCATCAAAGATCCAATTTTTTCTGCAAACGACTGAAAATGGAAAAAAATTAGTAAGAACTTTGTGAGTAAACTAATGATCACACTTGTCTTGTCTGAAGAAAAAACGATTGTTGGTTACCATATAAGAATTTACATTTCACAAAATCCACTTAAGTACTTATGAGGAAGATGATTAGATATTACAGGGGTGCAGAAAATGCTTGATCATGTGCCCACCCCGGCGCGTGGAAATGTGGAACAGCCCCCAAAGGAGGGAACATTTTTAAGGGTCAGTAGTGGAACGTCAACGAAAAGCAGGAAAAAAGGTCATTTTTTTTTTAAATTGGTGGGAAATTTTGTGGAAAACCAATGAGAAAAATGTGGAAAGCCGGCAGGTGGGTGCGTGAAAATGGGGAAGCTTCGAATATTCTGCACCCCTGAGTAATTATTTAATCAAATTATAATCAATTGGATTACAGATGAGAAGGTGAAAGTACAAAGGACCAAAGATGTAGAATCCATGCTAAATAAAGTAACATACTTTTAGGGTGCAGATGAAGATCTGCCTTCTGGATTTTTGTGTTTATTTTCAGTGCTTGACCGAGGACAGCTAGTCTTGTACAAGTGCCAGACTCTACAATTGTTCAAGCCTTGAGTTAAACAAGATTATTTTAGGATTCAACCTTCGTCCTTAGACAACAACCTAGTGTGGCTTGTATGGAACTTGAAAATAGAAACTTCATACGTATGTAAGTGACATAGCAAGTTTTATTGGTGTAAAATTTCCTTGTGATAATTTAGCAGGGTAAAAACAACAGCCTTAACTTGAAATGTGATGAAAACTTTATTCTTCTGTTTTGAGATATAGGTATAGGTAGGGTTTCTTCTGTTCCCAGATGGATTCTGGATGGTTCCAGATTCTGTTCTGTTTCGCCAAGATATAATAATCACCTAATATTCTTTGAAAATAAAGAGCCAAAATTTATGATCCCTGCAACAAAATCATAAGGTTCCTCCACTACACTGTCCATGGTAAATGTGTAGGATGTTGGGTACAATTCCGATAGTGTAAGATCATTCAACTCCAATTAGGGGTGTTCAAACGAATTCTTGCCGGAACTCTTTCGATATTGTCTCTTATTGAAACTGGCGGCAGTACCGACAGTGGTGATGATATCGACAACAGCCGGCTTTATCGCATTTTTGAGAGCTCGCACTCAATGCATTGTTGCCCCTTGTGTCGGTTTATCAGATTGCCTGGCGCGGCGGCGCATGATATAGATGTACACATGGCAACAGCTTATTTTCGCCAGCTCCAAAAACTCTGATCGCTATCGGCAAGAGCGCTCTTATCGTAACTTTTTCGGTTGCTTACCAACAAACGATAGAACAGCCCTAACTCCAATGTATGACAGCTGATAGGGTACAGTAAAGTTATGAAACAGACTTTACAGGATTATTAAGATGCGTGAAGAAGCACAGAACTCAATGAGAGCAACTTCACAGTGTACGGATGTGTTGAAAGGACATGGCAAAGAGAAGAATAGGAAGAGATACAGCCATAGGGAATAACACTACATTCTAAGGCGAAGTAGAAAAGAAGGTATAGTGATAAGTATTCCTAACTCTTGGATAACAAGACAGATTACATCTATTTAATTAGTCTAAAGGCTAGCGAATACTTTTCTAGGTTTTGAAAAATGGAAATAATTAAATTATGAATCGGGTGTGACGACTTTAGTGGGGGAGGAAATTACACGTTACCGATTCTTGAACTTATGGATCCAATGCCAATCCACACACTGTTTAGGCGTTATCACGAAGCCACACGCATAGATAAGAGGGAATGGAAAACATGGATATTCGTTGAGCAGGTTTACTTACCATAACTGCTGATGATGGAGGGAAGTTTTGAGATGAAAGGAACTATAAATATTCTATGAATATTGTCTTTCAGGAAGCTGAAAAAAATTTACGAGCAGAAATCAATTCACCCCCCGCTTGGATGGATGACCGATGAAAACAAGTTTTAGCATAGATTGTGCAGTGTACAGACTACGCACGGTCATGGTCCTTGGCGGGGTCTCATAACAGGGGAGTAAATGGGAGTTAGATTACACGGTAATCTTATATATCGGTATAATCTTATATCACGGATAGCAACGGTGCAGCTTCAGCTTCATAGCTACATGAATAAGAGTTACTAATTATTATAGATTGTATTTTGAAACCGCGCTGAATCTTTCAGACCCGTTTCATCATTTGATCGCATTTTATGCTATTATTTCGGCCTCTTGATGGCCCTGCCCTAAATTTGAAGATTGAACACTTGCTATGCTCAATCATGATCGAGAAAGTACATCTTGATCCCACACGACGTTCATTACATATAAATGTATGAGGAGTGTCGCCTCTAGATTATAGCATACTCTTTATCTGGTCTCACCTTCATCGAGAGTTGCCAGATAAGTGGTAAAGTTAGTATTTTATTAACTATTGTTGCCAAAAAATTGCGATTTTTTAATACAACTTGGCACTGCTGTGAAGCAGGCTCTCGTTCGTATGCCCTCAGCTGTTTTGCTGTTTACTTTTTGCGACTATTGTGTGTAAACAGTTTCATCCATTTTTACGGCAGTGCGAGAATTATTTCGTGAATTTAACTTCTAATTGTGTTAAGTAATCATACTTTCTATCTCCGAAGCTCACGTGCATTGATGGTTAGACATTTTTATTCCGTCTCCGTATCAACTCGATTAACGACTCAACATTTGAGAGTGGCAAAATTTGTCAGACCTTGATTGATTTACGTATTAAGATAATGTTCTAGTTTCTTTGTTCTCATGCTCTTTCGTTGGTTCGTGATATGAATTTCTGTCGCGAATCAAGATCATTTAATGGACAATTTACTCTCGGTCTAGGTGCTCTTTCAATTTTTTCCGTGGTTTTTCGTTTCTTCGTGTTATGCACGCTCTCCTAGGTTGCCTTCATTTTCTTCATGCAGTGCCTGAAAGTTCATTGTTATGAGATTGTAAGCTCAACCAATAGTTGTTTCTCCACTTCACACTTCATTGAGCTAGTAATTATCATTACATCATGAAATTATTTCCCTGATTTGTCTATTCAACTTCTATGAGTCATCTTTGTTATTATTGTGAATTTCCTCAAACTTATTGGTACTGACTTGCTTCAGCACAAAGCTCATTTACTTACCTTAGCATTTTATTCCTGCTTCTGTTTCAGACACCTTCAAGAACTAATGCACAATCATGATTCTTCATTCACTCTCATGGTTTTGTAAGTCCTATTTTTCTGTTATTTACTGATTAGATGGGTTTTTATCCAACTATTTATTTTATTTTAACATTGTTAATGTTACTTAGCCCCTCTAGAACATTATCACTTTTGAATCCTATATCCCCCGAAACTCGATGATCATATTTTTCATGAGTAGGTTTTTAACACCTGCAAATTTTTACCTCCACTCTTTTCAGCAACAGTCTCAAAATTGTTTAACTTTTCTTGAAGGAAGGGGATGTAAAAATGAATTTTCGCTCTCAAGTTTAAGTTTTAACCTTATTCTTATCTAGACATTCAGTTGAGACTCTGATTCTTTTACCTTACCTGTAAATCAGTGGTTCTCCATGTGAAACAAAGGCCAGCCGAAGTTTTTCAACTACAGTCTTGTTCTCTTGAGGCAGTAAGTGGTGAAGGTGGTGGGAATTGTGAAGCATGACAGTGGAGGTATAGCGATGATTGAATTAGGAAAATTTTCTTTGAATATTGAACGAGTTAAGAAAATTTTAGAAAAACTGTCGGTCCTCTCACAAAAATTAAGTAGGAGAGAAAATTTGCAACTCTTCAAAAGACGGATTCCCATCTGTCTCTGAAAACTGCCTCCACCAAGACTGGTTTACATATTTCATTCAGAAACACTACCATATTCTTACTAATAATACCAGCAGATTGCACTGGTCATGGAGTTTAGGTCCTGTCACAGTAGAGTAGGACAAACTAAGTAACTCTATCTGCCATTTATGAGTGTTATCAACAACTGCCTGTGTTGTGTGTATCAAATTATTCACCCTTACTTAGTCTAAACCATGCAGACTTTTACCCCTTTTTGATATCTATAGGACAGAACACAAAGAGTAAGGTATGGATATTTAGGTAAGGAATTAGCTGTTGACTGGGGTGTAATGCAAGGCTCTGTCCTAGGTCCAATATTATTCCTCATTTATACACTTGAGCTAGCGGATGGTACGGCTCTTGTTTTTGCAGACAAATCTTGAAAAGAACTCCATATAAATTGGTAAATCATGTCCTTAATCTGTACATTATTCCATGGTTTGATGAGAATTTACTTGTAGTCAGTACTTGTGAGACACAGTGTATACCATTTGGAACATCCTCCATCAGCTCTGAAGAACTGAAAATTATCATTCACCGTTACTCAAGTAGTGAGCGGAGGGATTGTAGCTGTGTGAAAATTTATTTATTTTTATTTATTTATCTCGTTTTTACAATACAAAATTACACTATTAATCAAATTTAAACTGGCAAGACCCTCCTGTAAGCAATGCTGCTTGTGTGGAGGGCTGCATACTGAGAATAACAACACAAAGGAACTGACAAAATATTTAACATGAGGTAGCCCTGCCTGGTGGGTAAACTAAACAGTCTATAAAGTAAAAGTACAATAAACGAAGAAAAATAAAATTGAATCTGTTAGATGCCAAAAAAATTTAAGAGAAAAGAATGCACAGGTGATGTGTAGGTCACTAAGGTGAAGCTATAGGGGAAGACATTTAGTAACAAGTGTACAGTAACAATTCAACTAAAAGATTAAAGAAGACCTAAATTAAAAACAAAATCTTTCAAATTAAGGAGACAGTGGGGGCTGAGGTCTTCCATCGACCCCCCACTTAAAAAGAAAAATCTATACTCTTCTGGTAACTCAATAAATAAATCTAATATATTTACAAAAACTCTGCGCTTGGAGGCCTCCAGTGAAAATAAAGGTTTCTTAAGGGTATATTTATGGACTTTTGCTCCACGTGTTCGGTAATTGTTTTTGGAAATTATGTGGAGTAGTTGGTCTGTGAAAGTTGGCAAAGTTTGTAGAAGCTCATAGTTATACAGTTGTTTGCGTGTGGGGACATTTAGAAGCTCATTTATTTCATTTGATGAATAAAGCTGGGGTAAATTAAGGATTGATTTTATGATTCTCCTCTGAGCTCTAACTAATGGTGTCAGGATGGTAGAGCCTGCACCACCAAAAACACTCAGACCATGTGAGAGAACAGATGGAAAAAGAGAAATGTACACCAGGCGAAGGTTATCAATTTTAAGGTAATTTTTAAGTTCTGTTATGGAATAAGTAATCTTAAGTAATTCTCTAACTACCGTATTAACATATCCTCTCCCGAAAAGAGAGGAATCTAGTATAGTGCCAAGACACTTGGCTTCCAACGTGAGTTTAATTTTGGGACAGGAACAAATGTTTGCCTTACAGCTATGCGTGTGTGGTTTTATCTCTTACACATAAATAAATTTTAAAATAAAACTTGTTGATCAAGCTAGGTATTTAGTAATAATATTGGACCAAGGGCTGACAGGGAATGACTCAATCCGCATCTGGAAAAAGAACTTAGGAGAGTAATTTACTCAATAATAAGCCTAAAAAGACTTAAAAATTGAATCCTTGCGTTTGCTCTACTCAGCCTTATTCCAATCTATCCTCAGTTATGGCACTGCTATTTATGATGGGACTTATGAGGCAAACGCTTTGCCACTGATCAGGCCTCAGAGACGGGTCATTAAGTAGATCAACCTTCCCAAACTTTATCCATCATTGGAACTTAGTGATTTATTAGCAGTAGACTCCTTTGAAGAACTGTATAAAAAAGATCTGAGGCAATTAATTCCATCTTTCACTCCTCTAATAAAATTTCAGAGCAAGGAGATTTACAGCCTCAGGGGAAGGTCAGAGAGATTGGCTGTGGTTCCGTTTCTGAGAGTTGATTTATCAAAGCGAAATGTTCTCTTCAACGTAATTAATGAATATATTAAAATTCCGAAAAATCTTTTGAAGTAAATATTTAGTTCTCTTCTTCTCTTTATGTGTAGTATTCTAAAGTTGTTCGTATTGTATATTACTGAAAATTAAGTATTTTCATCTGAAACGGCTCTGGGAGGGGTTTTTTGCCAACCTGAGGAAATATGTATTTAATTTCTTTCTTTTTTTTTGTATTATATGCTTACACTTGTCATGCGAGCTAAGCTCATTAACTGACACAACTGGTTAATGTTGCAGGTAGCTAGAAAGTGCTGTAAGCTGAGGTAGAGGAGAAGAAAATGAAAAGTTATGGTATATGATATTTGACAGCTTTGAAACGGGGGGTAAGATGTTGTACGTTTTCCATGTAGACACTGGCTGTATGCTGACCTTTGAAATGAATCTTGCACTTGAAACGTGAGTATACAATGTTTGTACAAACAAATCAGTGATGAATATTTTCAGTGAAGAACTCGTATGGAATTCATTGTTTTTTTCAATAGGCAGAGACTCATTGTAGAAACTCTCCTATTGAAGCACTTATTTCTAAATCACCAGAACTAACTTCTTTTACACGTCAATGAAAGCTTGGTTCATCAGTAACATTTTTGTAGTTGAAACAAAGTAAATTTTCCGATTTCATCATCTGCACTTGGTAAATAAGCAAGTTGCAATGGACTTGTTCCAGCCAGCGCTCCAGCTGCTGGCGTAAGCAGCAGCTGCTCACTGCCAGCTGATGATACTGTGAAGAATAAAGGTTCATCACCTACCTCTGTTACAGATATCTTGTACAAATAAACCATTTTGCTATGCTTGTTTACAAATATCCATCAATTCAAAATCAACATCAATACAGTTGTGGTATTGCGTCTGTGCATGAGTATATTTGTGATAGTATGGTTTTTTGAGGTCTTCTTCCCTCTTTAGGTGAGAAATGAGAAAAAAAAAAAAACATGCACATACTGCAATTACACTTAAGTATGTAATAGAACCTGATACACGTGAAGGAAAAAGGCATTAGCAGAGAAAATGCAACTATTCTGAATGACATGTCTCGTTTTATGGAGAGAGAGTTCTTTATCCAGCAGCTTTAATTACACATTTCAACCACAAAATTACTTTCGAATGAGGATTGCAACGATTTGTATCTTTCATAGGACTTCTATTTTGCTAGGAAAACAATTGAACAACGGCAATTGAACAACCAAACGTGTTGATGGGAACAGCATTTAAACTTCCAAGCGCTTCATATAACGTTTTCTGAGAAGTGTTCTTCTGGCACCCAACCAATACCATCTCCCAATACCTGGCCATGGGTTTGAGGTTAAATGTTCGTAACTCCTGAAAACACACGGGATCGTATAGGGGAGGACTTATAAAAGTTGATTTTTTTACATGAGAAAGTGAATTTATTCTAGGCGTGGAATTTTCAGTTGAATATTTTGGCAAGTTTTATCGAAAGAAACAAATTTTTTCGGCAGAATCACATTTTAAATTAAGGAAAAAAGTATTAAATGCATGTCACTGTACTAAATGTATGGGAGATAACCGGGAAACGTATGCAACCCGCCAAACGTAGCCCGGCGGCTTCCCTTTGTTTTTGGGAGATATTACTCACACACTCTCACACGTATTCTCCAATGGCCAGGAATTCTAAGTAGGAATTGACCCAACGCCAATTAGGGTTAGGAAGTTGCCTATTAACCTAATTTATTGATTTTTTTACTTGGTAATAAGTAAGTTCTTTCATGTTTTTCAGGGTGGTGCAACTAAAGCAGACCATTGAACTTGAGTGCAGTATTCCAGCTGATAAACAAGTTTTGCTTGTGAGTGGCGGGGAATGCCTCGATTCAGAAGCAAGAGTTGGCAGTTACTCTGCTGGAACTGATACGAATCCAATTTTTCTGTTCAGTAAGAGCACAATTGAATCTCCAACACCTCCAACTCTGTGCCATGACTTTGGCTCTGGTAGGTTATTGGTTCCCTCATAAAAGATTTTAAATTAGCGTTTGTTTTCGGCTGCATTTTGTATTCTTTATCCATAAAATTTTCAAAGTATACCTTCTCAATTTAAGTCAGTTGTATCTTTCAATTTACAATTCTTTTGGAAGTGATTTATTCTGAAAGTTTGACACTTTGCACTAATCATTCTAACTTCTCATGCATATTTTGCCAAGTCTGTGTTTTGCAGTGCCTTTGACCCAGTTATTTGGCTCATTAATATCAGTCAGCCAACTATATAATGACCAACACATGATTTCAGCTTGTATTGCAGATTTTAATCAAAGGATAGAAACCCCTGCCCAACCCCTAGGGCACTGCCTGCCCTCAAAGGCCGCTTCACCGCTAGCGAAACTGTCAAAATCGCCTGTTGGTGGTTAATGAGCAAATAATTTTAATTGGATAACAAAACGATGTTTCATAGAAAAATTCCCCGCCAAACAATATTCTTAATGACTCTTTCATTACTCTGAGTTTTGATTCCTTCTCTGGAAGTTGAACTTTGGACCTTCTTACCCTCCTTCCTCACCCCGTCCATCGAGCATCTTGAAAATGATGAAATGATGAAAGAGAGGATTTCAATTCTAAGTTCCTCTCACAATCTCTAAAAATAGGAAAAAAGAGAAAAAAATCCAGCTTTGAAAGAAACTTCATAATTTTCCAGACTAGTGCGTATGAAAGGAACTCAAAAGAGATTAAATGATTGTAATATCGCTCCATTTGTAGAATTACTTTTTACTCTAATGTGTGTCAAGTCAAACTGTTGACCCACTCACCAAGAACTCCTCTGCCTCTGATATGTGTTCAGAAAGCCTTTGCTTTGACTGGTTTTATTCAGAGGTCTTTGCTATTTTATGTATGTATTTATTTATTGATTCATTTGTTAATTTATTGTTTAATTTGGATACAGAGGTGGAGCTTAAAGAGAAAGTGGATGCCTCAAATAATTTGCCTCCAACTATTCATGCTGTGGTCGTGAGATCACAGCTTGCGCAGCAGTTTTATGAGTTAGCTCGTGATCAGACCAAAATATGTGAGGACCTTGTTCATGATCAACATTTGCAGCAGCTAGGTAGGCCATAATGAATTTCCCTCCTTGAATTTCCATAACCCTTCGAGCAATCCTTTTCATTTTAAGTACCTTCATAGTAGATCTTTTGTAATTATTTCTCCTTTTTTTTATCTTCTGAAATGTTAAAAAACAAGTCAACTACACCAGTATCTTTGTTTTTCATTACTTGTATAAATTATTATTTAGCTCAGATTTTTTAAAATTTATAACCTTAAGCCGTATTTGGGAACTGAAAAATATCGCAGTCATAGATTTCTTAATGCCAATTTTGCAGCATACCCTATTGCAAGCTCTATTTCAGTTCAAGTGTCTGTTATAGTGAATCTGAACTTTACTTATGCTCGACAATGCTAGGCTCCTAGCATTTTTGCAATTGCCTGCTCATCTCCGAAGAAAACTTTGATTTTTTTAAGTTCTATTTTGTATTCTTTTGGCTTTCAGGGTGGTCAGCAGTAATTGCAAATTTAGATGATGTTTTATTAGCATTCAAGCAGCGTTGTGATCTCTTCGAACAAAGCTTTTGTCAATACTTAGAAACAAAAGATGATTACGCTAAATTGTTAGATTCGTAAGTAACTGCTCAGTTTGCTTTAATTTTAAATTGTTTCGCAGTTTCATATTTTTTAGTCTCTTAATTCTGTGAGAAGGAATCTCCTAAGGTAATTGAAGGTCAAAAAAGGGTTAGAGAATGATATTACAAATAGGCACCTTACTTCTATTTTAGTGGTAAGGACTTGTCCTGTTTTTAAACTTTAATGTTAATGATACACCTTTGTCGATTAATTGTGTTGAGTAAAATCGTCTGTCATCTACAACCTTGCAGATTACATATGACTGTAAGTTTGAAACCTTGGTAAGTTGGCCTCTCCAGTTTGAGCAACATAACTTAACAATTTTTTTTGCTCTATTGAGTTAATTTTGAAATTTCCTTATTTAATATTCTCTAGTGGAGTCTACTGTAAAAAATATCTGTACAATATAAAAATATCTACTAAAATAATGCAAATTAAAATACCATTATTTTTATATTTTCTCTTGGTTAACCTTTAATATAATTATTTGACATTTTCAGGGATTATACGGTATACTGAAGGCTAATGTTCAAAAATGAAGTCAATTTCTTTTCTATGAAAGCATTCTAATGCAGCAGAACATTTTTCATAATCTAAAAGTCTACTACGAGTTTTCTAGCCAAATAAGTCATCTAGCATCAAATGAAAAAGTAAAAAAAGGTCTGCACACAACTCAAAAATAAGTTTTTGATCAAGCAATTGGGTCAACCAAAAAATCTTACCTACTTGGATTTTGAGGAAATTTTGGGTAAGATATGGCGATTGTGAACCGTGTTTCAAGGGTATATTATCTATTAAAGCAGAGAATGTATGCGTTGATTCCTTATCTTTTGTGTGAACATTTAGGTTCAAAGACGACCTGGAGACTTTATCCCACATCCCAATTTTACCCTCTCTGTTGGATGAAAATGATGAGGAACGCGGGAGAGTTGAAAAACTAGCGGAAAACAAAGGAAGTGATGTTTCTCTGTTGGAATGGATTGCAGCAAAAGATAATCAAAGTAGTCTTGAACAATTAGCAGAACAATGCCACCGAGGACTTGAACAAGTAAGCAACTACTTTACAAAAAGATAGTATCCATACCCGTGTAATCTGACTATGACTTCTTGTTGTGCACCATCGAGAGAAGAACAAGATGAGCACCACTTTGTCAATGTGCGCAGTGGAGCCTTTTCAGTGCTGTGTATCTCACCTCCTTTCCACTTCGGTACTGGCACTAATGAAGGTCTAATTTTTTAGTTCATTTGCTGAAAACAAGCTTCAACTATTGCTCTGTTGACATTTAGAGGAGGAACAATTTCCCAATTTTACGACATCAGGGTGTCTACTAGTTTGGAAAACCAGGAATTGTCAGGGAATTTCATCAGGTCACTGGAACACAGAAAATTTTATGATAAAGAATAGAACTTTTTTCAACAAGTGATTCAGGTTATTTTTTATCAGTACAGTTTTCATATTTTGCATGTGTTTTTTGAATTTTGTTTCACTTTATTTCAAAGTCTCTGAGCTCTGAAGTACAAAGTTTAATGTGTTTATTTGCAGTGAATGTAACACTGAAAATTGCCCATTCTTAGTTCTCTACGTTCAAATTGTCATTGTGAAAAGTCAGGAAATTCTGATTACTTTGATAGAGGAAACCTGGTAAAGTCGGAGAGTTCTTTTATAAAAGTCTATAGACACTGCAGCAAACCAGAGGCAAATCTTGGGTTGTGATGTAATCCTCTAAATTGATGGCCTTTTTCTCTTTTTCTACCTATTTATGTTTTGGCTTTTTGTATTTAATGAAAGGGGGCAAATCACACGTTTTGCTTTGAATGTAACTTTTTTTATCAGTCAATTTGTAAATCAGTCGTGAGACAAACATGCCAGGACACAAGAAATGGTATAAAAAACGGTCCGGAACTTCATGCTCTCCTTTCGATTGTCTTTTCTATGGCACGGCCAAAAAATTTAAATACAAATACTATCTTCACCCTCACCCCAATGAGACTAATCTTGTAAAAATTAAAAGTGTTACTTGTAAAATAAAAAATTCTCCTCTGATTTTTTTACTTCATGAGGAGTATTTGGAAAGGAATTCTGAGGGCAGAAGAAGAGAATGAGCTTGAAATAAATCCTTAGTTCTTCCGTCTTCTTTTTAAATGTAGGTAGATGTCCATCAGTTTTCTACTGATGCATTATTTTCCTTATAATCATGTTACTTTCCAGTTTCGTGAAGACATCCTCATACAGTTTAAACAAGAAATTGCCAAAGCAGTGGAAACAGCCAACTCAGTTGACCTCCGAGAAATCAAAGGTCTGGAAGGGCGACTGTGCGGTCTTGAACAGCTAATGAATGAAGTGAAAAAGATTGTTCAAGAACAAATGGATCTGGCTCAAGCATTCTCTCAGAATCAGGTTCGAGCCTGCAATTTGGGGGACACTTCCATTTTACCTGATCTTTGCACGTCACATTGCCGTCAATTAGAGGTTATGCTGATGAATCATCAGAAAATACGTGACATAAGACGGCGCTGCAACCGAGCGAAAGAAGAACTCTCTGTCAACCTCTATCATCGTTTGAAGTAAGTTTTCCCCATCAATTAAAGTAACAATTTTTTATTCATTGCTAATTCATTGTATTCTTACTCAGCTAAGAAATAAATTGAAAACAATTCTCCGAGCTCAAGTGTGTTGAGCATCTTCAATTGAGAAAATACGCGGTATCCATCAAAGTCTCAGGAACAACTCTTTATGTTGGAAAAAGTTACTCTTATTAATTGTCAGATCCTCAGTTTTTGTTTTCATGTTATGCATCCTTTTGTTCTACAGGATGTCCCAAGATTTAGTACGAATATTGAAGGGGTCGATTCTTTGGGTAAAAAAAAGATGTCTTTGTGGTATATATTTTTTTTCCCAAAAGCGCTTTCCCGGGGGGGTAGGGGTGTTCAAACGAATTCTTGCTGGTGCGCTATCGGTATCGTCTTAAACCGATACTGGTGGCAGTACCAACAGTGGGGATGATATTGTTAACAGCCAGCCTTATCAGAGTTTTGAGAGCACGCACTCAATGCATTGTTTCCCCGTGTTTCGGTTTCTCAGATTACCTGGCGCAGCGGCGCGTAAAATAGATGTACACATGGCAACAGCTTATTTTTGTCAGCTCTGAAAACTCAGATCGCTATCGGTAAGAGCGCTCTCATTGTAACTTTTTCTGAACAGAACTGTTTTGGTAGCTTACCGACAACCAATAGAACAACCCTACCCGGGTGCCATGGCCCCCCCAAAGTTGGAGAACGAAAATCGTCTTTCTAACACTGTGACAATGTTTATCAACCAATATTAATGAAAATTGGAAAATGGGGATAATTTTTAGTGGTTTTTTCATTTTTGACCCTCCAAAAAGGGAGAACGCATTTTGAGGGGGGGGGGTGTTGAACCTAAAAGTGGCCAAAATTAGTGTTTCCAGTGACAAAAATTGATTGTTGACGGTACTACTAGATTCAGCGTTGAAAAATATTGAGGAAATGTGTCTTGCGTTTTTTTGCTATGACTCATCGTTTTCGATATAATAGGGACTGAATGGAGCGCGGGTGGGGGCAAAGGAGGTTGGGGGTGGCCCCCAGTGAAAGCGTTTTTGGAAAAAAAGTTAAACCACAAAAACGTATTTTTTTGACCCAAAGAATCAACTCTTTCAATATTCGTATTTCATCCTGGGACTCAGTATAAAAAGAGACTCATGACATTTTTCGACTCCCAAAGGTTGTAAAGGGTATATACCTCAATTAAAAATTCATTGAATCATTCAAATTCATCTCAAACATATATTTCAGGGTGTCTACAGGTCTGGAAAACCTGGTAAAGTAAAGGAATTTTTTTCCCTCAAGTCTGTAGACACCCTTTTCACCACAGAATAAGTTCTTTTTTAAGTTTACTGATTTTCACATTTTGATGCTGTTTTTAGGGGTGTCATGTTTGTTGAGAATCGTATCTGTGAAATGGATAGCCGTCTAGTTCTTCATCATGAAAACTTGAAGCGCCTCCGCAAACATCTGGAAGTTGTGCAACAGTTACATCATGCTCCTCGAATGTATTTATCGGCTGTCAGTGAAGTTGTCAGGCGCAGATCATTCTCCGAGGCTTTTTTAGTTGTAAGTCCTCTATACATGAATCTTTCATAGATTCTTCTTTCTATAGATAATATATAAAACTTTAGTGGTTACTATTATTTATGTAACAGAATATTTTTGAATCACAAATATTAAGAAAACAAACTTTCAACTTCTTCATTGATTTGCAAGAAAGATGGTTAAAAAATCGACTCAAGAGTCTCAGAGAAATTAAGATGGCAAGTTCTTGAACTACAAGATTCAAGTGTAAATATTTCTATGTTTTTATCAAAAACTGTAATTTTTCTAGGCAATTCTAATCAGTTAGCACTGTGTGAATTTAAATATCTGTATACCATTAATAACTTTCCTCTTTCTAAATTTACATCATCGTTTTTTTCTGATAAGAGTGCAAGAGATGATTTGGCCTTGACATATTTGGTTCAATATTTATTGCTATATTCTTCTATTCTCCTCCTTGCAGTGGGCGAATGAATTGGCTTGTCAGCTTTTAGCAGTGCATTCTGAAGAAATCGAAAGACGCAATAATTTTCAGGCTGAATTCGAAGGTCATTTTCTCAGTTCTCTCTTTCCCGGCTTTGAAGACCAACCGCCATCTTTTGCCACCCAAGCACCAACTTTATTTGATCGCAATTTACCCAAGGTAAGCAATCCTCAATGGACTTTTGGCGAAGGTCTGCAGGGATCTCGCAGCGCGTTCGTAATGAACGAGTGCGTGAAATAATGGGAGTTGAGGAAGATATTGTGCACAAAATCAAAACCAGGCAGCTGGTTTGGTATGGACACGTGCGGAGAATGGCAGATAGTAGGTTGCCCCGAAAGGTATTTGATTGGGTTCCTCCTGGAAGAAGGCGGCGTGGACGTCCAGTAAAAGGTTGGCGGGAGGGAGTGGAGGGGGAGATCAGACGGTGTAATCTGCCCGATGATTCGTGGGAGGATCGATTCCGATGGCGATTTGGAGTCGCAGAGCGCTCTAGTGTGCTGAGGTAGCGGCTTGATATGTATGTAAGCAATCCTCAATGGACCCGTAACTCATTAGCTCTTCTCTCTTACTTCTAAGTACCATCAGCAAACTCAGAGATAAATAGAGGAAATCGCTATCGATTACAGGGTCTACCTTTGTAATGCATCCAATTTACTTCCTTAATGTGTTCATTTTCAAGATTCAAATTTTTACTTAGTTTTCTTCTTTTCTTGAAAACTGATTTGTTCAATGATTTGTTCAATGAGGGAATTTTAACTAAAGGTAATAACATATATGTATGTACAAGAAAGAATTGGCAGGCACATTCCCTCTGAGACACCCTTTCTCTTCTACTAGATGATTATGAGCTGTGGAGAATATTTTTTTTTTCAACCATTGTCTCATTGAAAACACCTTATTTGTATCGTATGATTATTTCTAATCATAAGACAGTTCAAGGGCAAAGTTTAAATTTCTTGACTTGGTTGAAATTTGGGGAGTAGAGGGGCATAACTCTAAATTATGTTTTTCTTTATATCTGTTTCAGTTATCCATAGATGATATGGAACAATTACGGCATGATTTACCGCAGAATTTAGCCATGTCAGTGACTCTTCCAGATATTAATAGTATCACTCAGTTCTTCAGCACTTCCTCGGAGCCCCTGTTGAAACAAGTTGGGAAGAATATTAAACGCTCCTTTGAAGAACAGTTGGTAAGCTTAGACAAGAGCTGTAATCTTGGTCATGTAAAACAGTTCCTGTCATACTTTTTATTTCTTCATTTTATTTAATCACAACATAAACAATATTCTCTAATGCAAATTATGTTATTACTGCACATATCTGTAAGCATCATGGTCAAGTTTCCTCCTAACCTAGAGGTAATGCCTACTTTAAAATGTTTTGTTTTTTTAGTAAACCGAAAGTAACAAAAACGGAACGAAACAAACGGGAAATCAAAGTAACAAACTGTGAGCTAAATAATAAAAATAAAGAAAGCCTAAACTAAAAAACTCAAACTCACAAAAAAAAATTAAAATTGCCAACGCGTTTCAGGGCTCCCCAGCCTCTTCTTCAAGGCTGCAGGCTGATTATTTTCCGCGTTGATAATAAAATCGTTACGTTAACGCCGTCGTTGGCGGCAAAAGTATAATCAAGCAATTATTTCACTCCGCGCCGATCATTAAACTGTGGCGGGATATTTGAGTCCGTTGATAAGTTAAAGGTTGCTCTACGGCAACCTGTAAGCTAACGATTCGCGGCAAGCTAACCTAACCTAACAATATACCGTGCGTGAAGTGAAGAAAAGAGACTAAGGGAACCGTGTTGTTTTCAACTTACGCCGCCGCGCAGTTGGCGCGCTGCTTGTATCATAAACGCTCTCTGATTGGTTGATTATTATCTCTCACGTCGGCAACGTTGGGATCCAGATCGCTAACTTCACAACGCTAAGTTATCAAACGAGGAGTAAGGATCAGTGGGATTTGATGTAAAAAATCGCTCGGCTAAAGCACATCGTTAGAATTCAGTCGTTATCTGTGAGTCGCTAACTTATCGACTCGGATATCGATGCGGAAAATAATCAGCCTGCTGGATTCCAACTGGACAAGGTCCGGCAATTTCAATTTATTTTTGTGAGTTTGAATTTTTTAGTTTCGGCTTTCTTTATTTTCTTTTTTTATGTTTTTGTTCGCTTGGTATCTCATTACTCACTCCTTTGATTTTCATAAACATTAAAATTCAGATTTAAAAGCTTTTACCGCAGCCAAAATGAGTTCTAGTTCATGGGATAGCTTGTTTTATGAAGCATTTCATAATTATTTAGTGGGCTAATTTCAGCATTTAAATAAACATTTGCATCTAAGTAAACCCTGTCTCAAGATTCTGGAAAGTAAGTGGTTCAACGAAAAGTTTTCTCTTTACAGGTGGATGTTACCAGTGTTGCCGATATTGTAGGTGATGATATTGGATCGAGCGCTATGCAGCCTGACAGTCAAACAAGTGGTCAAAGTGGTGGAAACACGCAACCCATCACAGACAGGTAAACTTCAAGAGTGACAAGCATTTTTTCCATAAGGTCTTAACTTTATTTCCTTCATTCATCTTCATTTTTCTTTGATAGGCTCAGTAGAGAAAAATTTAATTACAAGGACTTCTATCATTTACCCACCCAGCCTATATTCTAATAGTATAACATAAATTTGGCACATACAATTCTCTATTATGAACGTTTTCTGTTCTTGCTAATTCATTGTCAACATTAAAAAGGTTAACATTCCAAAAACTGCACCGAGAGGCGTAACTTACGAAGGATTCCTAATCTGTGTATTTTGACTATTAATAACTCTTACTTTTTTGTATTTCAGGGGTTTTGAATCTGAAACTGATACAGAAGAATTTGAGAAAGTCGATCAGTCTCCAACAGATTTGACGTTTGATGCAAAGCAGAGAGGAAAATGTAAAAAGCGTAATTGTGATATTTTAAAAAATGAGGTAAGATATTTAAAGTCTTTGGAGGTTCTTTAAACATCAGCACTTGCAAGTATGGTGTACATGAAAACCCCGTTTTTTAATTTTTTTAATTGTAAAATTTTAGTGAGAAAGAATGTATTCATTCAAAAGTTGAAGAATCAGTTTACTTATTTGTTGCATCAATCAAATTTTTTGACAGCCTTCTCTCCTATATTGCATGATTATACAGGGACAGCTAATCGTTTCACACACTATGACTGGAAAATTTTGAATATTTATTATGCTCTGTTTAAGAAGAGGTATTGCTTCACGAAGTGTGTAGTTAATTTGTACTAGAAAAGGTCACAAACTGACTCGAGAACTTCAGCAAATGAAACCTGGCTTCATTCATAGGCGTGCTGATATAAATCCTTGCAGGTACTGTCTGTCTCGAAGTACAGATAAAGTTCAGTAAGGCAGCTCCTTTCAGAGGTGGAAGGCTTTATAAAACTGAGCAAGTGACTAGTCAAAGCATTGTTGCCTTGTATGTCTATCCACTAGATTTTTGGCTTGTAAAACTGATGTAAATGATAATAGCCTATTCTTCTTACCTCTGAAAACTCCGAAAGCTATTGGTTAGGGTCTTTTTTATTGGTACACACTACTTTTCAATGAAACTGATGTGATAGCTTACCTCTCAAGAATCTGTAGAACACTATTTGTCATCAATGAGTATTTTTAATTATAAATTGTGATATGTGCATGAATTGTAATTGTTAAGCTTAGCTCTTCCAGTACATAATTATACTCTGAACACAGATGACAGTTCTCATGCACCATCAGCAATTGTATATCACTGCCCAAGTACTAATTTTTGTTCTATTGCAACCGTGCGTTTAATATTTCCTTGTTTTACAGGGTTCATTAATGCCATCCATGGATAGTCTAAACTCTTTTAGGATTGCTGCAAGGAAAGTCATAATTGATTTGCGCAATGAGCTCAAAACAGTCAAAGATTATGTCATATCTCAGCAAGCTATGCTGGATGACATGAAAAAATTAGAAACAGCTTATTCTTCAGTTTGCCAGATTAAAGATTCGCAAGTGCTCACCCTTCAAAAGGTAAGACATTTTTACAATCTAGAGTAAAAATCAACGTATTGGTGGAAGATATTGAAAGTATCTCTGTTGGATCTGCTTATTGTATGTTGAGACACAAGTCAATCTCTCATTAGTCCTGAATCAATACCAGTCATCAGGTCATTAATGCATGTATTCAAATAGCATTTCTGTTAAGTGTTGATGGAAACAGAATTTGACTTTTGTTTCAACTTATGAACAAGATAAATTATATAATTTCAAGTCCTCAAATATTTATATTCATGACAATGGGCCTATTGCGCCATTTTTTTTACTGCTCTAATCAAAGAAACTGAGGCTCCTGATGTCACAGGATTTTTGCCGGAGTTTTTTGATCTCCGGAAACCCCCAAAAAATCAACTTAAAAACGCCTGAAAATTCGGATTTTCAAGGCGGTCACTTCAACCCGGGAACGGATCCGGAACACTCGCTGCGTTGTAGTTCATGACAAACCTGGTCTTTACGTCACTTGCATATCTTCCCACAAGGAATTGGCAGCCGCTATTCAAGTGCATCGAGTTAATGGATGATTTTTTTTACCAAAATGGCATTTAGAAATGGATTTCTTGGACGTTTAAATGGTTAAAACCATCATTAGTTAAATAAGATCAGACGGAATAAAGCCTATTTTTAAGGAAAACTGTAGTGAATGGGCGATTGTTTACATCTGCTATAGTGATAACAGACATGGACATTTGCTCAATATTTAGCCATATTCATGAGTTTTTAATTTTTTTTCACTATGTGAAGGTAAGTTTTTTTTTGTAAATCAGTTGTGTAATGCATGAGGATCATGTTAAAAGCTATAACGGTACACATTGTTACTTATTAATTCAGAACACACTCCGACAGTCCAACGCACAAACCTGGATGTAGCGAGTCAGTTGTTATTTCTTAATATTTCACCCTTCAATGTTTCACTGAAGACACCAAAATGACAGTATCAATCATTGATGATAAATTAACTCACCATTGACAATACTGATGAGATGAGGAGACCGGTCAGATTGGGTTCAAATTTGGCAGAGAGGTAGAATAGGTTAATCTAAGAAACCGTATTTTTTTTTTTTTAGGTGCCATTGCCCAGCCATTTTTGAGTTATGAATTTTTGAAGTTGTTGTTTTTTCGTGTCAGTGACGCGCTCAAGTTGAGCTTACTGTGCGAGCACCTTTTAATGTGATCCGAGTATTTACTGAGTCACGTGAGACCGATGGCCAAGCGGTAGCACGCTTGCCCACGGTGCCGCAGGTTTGGGGTTCGATGCTTGTTCCGAAAATTTAATTTTTACAATTGATTATTTTGTTTTCTAATCGCTTCATCACAACAAATTGTAAGTCACCTTGTAAACGTTATGATGCCTACTATATTTTTTTCGGTTTTTGTCAAACAACCATAAAACAAAAATAAATAAAAATACATGAAAAATAATTAGAATCATAACATTTACAAGGAGGACTTACAATTTGTTGTGATGAAGCGATTAAAAAACAAAATAATCAATTGTAAAAATTAAATTTTCGGAACAAGCATCGAACCCCAAACCAGCGGCGCCTTGGGCGAGCGCACTACCGCTTGGCCATCGGTCTCACATGACTCGGTAAGTACTCGGATTGCATTAAAAGGTGTGCGCACAGTAGACTCAACTAGAGCGCGTTGCTGACACGAAAAAACGGCAACTTCAAAAATTCATAACTCAACAACGGCTGGGCATTGGCACCTAAAAAAAAATACAGTTTCTTATATTAACCTATTCTACCTCTCTACCAAATTTGAACCCGATCTGAGGGGCTCAATCGGTAGCCTCCCCATGTAAGAAAGAGGCAAGGAAAGTAGACGTAGGATCCTTCTTTGGTTACCAGACTTATCAATACATTTTTTTGCATGGTGTTAAATTAAAAACACACGGGATTTTAAAGTAACATAAGTGTCTAAAACGTGAGAACGTTCTGAATTATATGAAGATGTTTGTTGAAAAGTTAAGAATGATTTATACTTATTGAGAGAACATCCATGGTTTGAGCGTTGGACTGCCAGAGTGTGTTCTGAATTAATAAGTAATAATGTATACCGTTGCAGCTTTTAACATGACCCTAAGGCACTAAATAATTCATTTACCAAAAAAACGTACCTTCAAATAGTGACAAAAAAGCACAAACTCATGAAAATTGCTAAATATTGAGCTAACGCTCATGTCCGTTATCACCATGGCAGATGTAAACAATCGCCTATTGACTAGTTTCCCTTAAAAATAGGGTTTGTCCCTTCGATTCATATTTAACTAATGATGGTTTTAACCATTTAAACGTCCAAAGAATCCATTTCTAAATGCCATTTTGGTCAAAAAATCATCAATTGACTCGATATTTGCATTTGAAAAGCGGCTGTCTATATCTTATGGGAAAATACATTGTAAGTGATGAAAAGATCAGGTTTATCATGAGATGTGACGTAACCAGTGTACCGGATCCGTTCCCGCGTAAAAGTAACCGTTACGAATGGGTCGGTTCCAAAGACAGCTTATTTTGAGTTCAAGAGGTCATTTCAAGCTTTGTTAGTAGCACCATTGTTCTTTTCGTGAAATTTGCCATTGGAATCAGTTATCAGTTCGCAAATCCCCGCACCTTGCAACATGCCCATTCAGATGTGAGAATGCCACAAACTTCCTCCTGTATTCAATGAGAATCAAGGATACTTAGGTTTTCCTCCAATTGTGTCGAAGATTTGATCTTGTCAGTACGAAAGTGTTCAATTTTAGTCTCTTAAGTGATAAGTCTCCATTTGCTTCCTCCATGTTACAGCAAGTCTACTATCTGCCAGCTTGTTGCATGTATTAAAAAATCACATTCTCAGAATTGTAACAATTATAACTTGATGAAATTGTCAGCAACTTGAGAGAGTTGTTTCTTCATTAAGTATCTGAACACCGAAACAGCAAAGTTAACAGTTGATGTTTCTTACCCACATTAGTTGCTTTACAGCACCACCTGGTACTGTACAGCCCCTCTCTTTTTCATTTCAAACCATAACTTGTCTGGCATCTCTTACTTTAACATTCCGGATTCAACTCCATCCCTCCACCTTCTCATTGGCCACCAGCTAGGCTTTCTCTAAGGAGAAACCCATTCTAGGATTTTTGGCAATCTTTCATCTACCTTTCTCCGTACATGACCGTAAGGTGCACATAAGTTGTTTCGTCACAATGTCATGGATGATGGTCTGTTTTGCATCCATGATCATCTCTACTTTCTCATTGCGGACCAATCCTACTTTAAAATTCCAGTTATCCATCTCTATTGCTTCTGAAGACTCTGCTCGCTATTTCAAAGACCGTATTTCACACCACTTGTCATTACCCTCTTAATGATTGTGCCATAAATCTTACGTTGTCTTTAGTTATAATTCCTCTCCAATCTTAAAACTTCATGTGATCATTTGGACTGCATCTGCAATTTAGAACAATCAATTGTTGCTCTTCTGGAAAAACACTTATGTCCATAGGGAAACTAATGGCACATACGCTGTTTTAAAACTGGGCTAGAGTTTAGTTCCAAAGTGCAAAATGCAGTCCTTCTAAGCAAAATTAACCCTTCAAACTGTCATCAAAGACTTAGATGCATGCAATAAATAAATTTTTTCTTTAAAAAAATCAATTTTATTAAAATCACTCACTTTCTTATGTGCAGGAAATCGAAGGCAAGGATGATCACATAGCAGAACTAACTGAACGAATGAATAAACTTGAAACGCAAATCAGTGATTTTGTTGTGTTAGAAGAGAAGTTTAAAGAAGAAATTGAAACTAGTAAGCAGAAACTATTGGACGAGAAAGAAGCAGCTCTGAAGGAACTCGGTGATCGATTAAATTTAGATCACAAAAGAGAAATGGAAGGTCTCAGATCTAGGTATCGTCTGTATGCTTGCACAAATATGGAAAGAAGTCCAAGTGATAGTAGTTTGGAAAAAATAGAGGTATTTAAAGTCAAATATTTATATTTAAAAAAATATATCAATATGTAGCTCTTTATTTTTTACTTTTTATCAAAACAAATTTCTTCTCTCAATCTGAATTTCTACTCCTCTAGATTCAAGGCAAGGACATCTTTTGCAGCCGTTCAACTTTTCCCTTGTCAACCCTAAGAGATTTTAATTATCTTAGCTTAAAGCAGAAATATAGATAGGGAGCACATCTTCAACTCAGAGCTTCAGTTATAATGGTAGCTCTCTCAGCGTTTTGCCGTCAAGTGTCTTGCCTGACCAAAAAAGTCAGTTAGGGTCCACTATACAACCTAATAGAATGCAAACTTTAACGTCTGGAGAGATTTGCTGAACAACTGGTAAGCAGAAATAATTTTGTCTGGTCTAATTGGATAGTCGACAGCAAAGAGTAAAGACATGCTCCATGATGACAAAAGATAATTATGTTGATGTACAAAATAAAGCTGTTAGACCTGCAGCATTTGAAATTAAATTGTAGAGGAAGAGATCCCAGCAAAACTAATATTCTGTTTTGGAATTTTTTTTATTTTGTCGGGATCTGTTTTTATCATGCCCCAATTATCTTTCTATTTTCTTTTTTATCCCAGCAGCGTTCTGATGTAATCGAAATAGCGAATCATGAAAAAATAATTTCCCAGTTGCAATCTGATTTCATGATGGAAAAAGAAAAGCTTGTCTCCGAAGAGAGAGAAAAATGGGTAACTAAATTAGAAGAAGCTAAAGTCAAATCAGATGCTGAGCGACAGGTGAGTGCTCGTCAAGGAAAATGGCAACCTTTTGTGTGTTTTTATTAACTCGATCTTGAGTCTCTTTTTTTGTGCTTCCTCAAAATTCCCAAGTTTAGTCAGGGCAAAAATTATCAACTGCAGAAGATCCTGTCTTGCTGATGTATATGCATAGAGGTGTCGTGAGCTAAGTTGGGATTTTTTTACTTTCTGTTTTCAAGGAACTGCAAGTGAGTGGTGTAATGCAATTGAGGATTGACAATGGCATGACTGCAAGCAACGCCGCCGCTGTCAGAGTGTTGTCAATCCTTGATCACCATTGGACGACTGCAATGCTGTTCCTTTCAAATGAAAAGTAAAAAAATGCCAACTTAGCTGATACTTCTAACTGGTGGCTCCTCTCTGTTCCCAGTTCTTCTCAGTGCTTGTGCCAGAATGTGTTCCTACACATTCCACCCAATGGCTTCCTAGTCATTGTCAATTGCTGCTATTGTGAAGTAATCTTGTACTTAAGTGGCTTCCTGAGATTTTTTGAGCTACACCTGTAATATTACTACTAATAACATACTAATAATAATTACCAAAAAAAGCTATGAACAATGAAAAGAGAAATTAACAACATAGTTACGACACCAGGAAGAGTAAATTAAGTAAAATAATAAAAGAGCGAGTACCTAAGAGAATCACTCAAATTTTTTGAAAAGATACCAAACAACCTGAGACAAATTTTAGCAGAGGCATCCTTCATAAAAAAACCAAACTATTTTTAATAGCGAAATGTCCATAGTCATTAAATGAATTCTTAGAAGTTGAATGAACAATGTATCGAAACAATCTGTTATCTTGACCTGTCATATCGCCTGTATTTATTACGCTACACAAATGTGAACAAATAAAAATTACTATTATTATTATTAATATATTGAAAGTTGACTGCGTTGAAAGTATTAAAATATGCAACATCTTGGTAATCCTCAGCCAACTTTCAAAATATTTAGGTGGCCGCTTATAGGATATATCACAAGGAAAATAATCACCCAGTTCAAAATTCAACTATTGCTATTGACTATTTATCATATTCTACCTCAGGTATGGTTCAATGAAGCAATGCGTCGGGTAACAGCAGAGAAAGAGAGACAGCTAGAAAGATCCCATAAACGCGAGCTTGCTCTGACCCAAGAATATAACAAATTCAAAGATATATTGCAGAAGTTTAAAACTCAAAGGTATGTGCCAGCTTGCTTTTTTATCGATATTGTGAATTTATTTTTGAAGATTTGATTCAAGTTTTATCTTTTTCATATCTACCAAAGTCAGACTGTACCAAATTCTCAACTTTCAACTCATCATATGTTCCAGATATTTTTTTTATCCTAGAGAATTTTCCTTTCAGCACACATTTTATCAAAAGTGAATAGTGCCCTTGCTTCAGTAATTTGTATAATTTTTAGCAGAATCTTAATGCAAACTTTTATCAATTGATGATTTAACAACCTTACTCCTCTTAAGGCGAATCCTTTTCCATGGGTCCCAGCATATTCTTTTAGCCCTCATCGTTTTAATTGTAACCTTTTTCAAATGTAATGTTCTCTTTAGGTCATTATATGGTGTCCAATATTTCTATTATGCGAAGCTAACTTTATGTATGTTTTTTTATTTATTTTTTTTTTTTTTAAATTGAAAAGCGAGCACAAGCCGTGTCCCCTGTTAAGCTCCTTGGAAACGATGGAAACTGGTAGTATCACTTCCTCAGTAGAAGAACCGAAAATGTTAGAAAGTAGTTTTTCTCTGGCAAAGGACATCGTCAGGAAGCACAGTGGGTCTTTGAATGAAATTGATAGTGATAGCTCAGCTTCAATTTCTGCTATTTCGTAAGTACTCAGATTTCTTATGAGTTTACCCAGTAAGTTTAAACTTTTCTCATGATCAACTATTCAAGGAGCTTTTATCACTGACAGTTGTATTATCAATCTTCTGGTCGTGGATTGTGACCACTAATTGACTAAATTTGTGACTTGCCAACATAGCATCAAATGGCTTTTAAGAGAGACACAATCAAATCAGTTAATTTCATCTGAAACATATGCTGCAATAGACGTAAACTAGAAGCACAAGCAGGATAATGGTTTTTAATTAAAATTTCACTCCAGAAGATTTGTCTCATGAGTATTACATTTCTGTCAAGGCGTCAGGCACTTTGACAGGCTATATGATATAAGAAAATATTTACTGATTACTCTTTTGCTCAGACTTGAAGGAACATTTTAAAATTTGATGACAATGTCTACTTCAAGGTCATTGAGCTCATCATCAGACTTACGAAAATCATGCTGTGCGGTAATTTTGTAGTAATCGTACACCTAACAATGAACTCAATGAGCTTGAAAGGGTCTAGCAATTGCACTTTTTTTTTTTCAAGTTTGGGCAGGAAGGGAGTAATTTCTGCCCATACAAGTTCTGCGTTGCCCGACTTTTTTAAACCAAGTTACTTATTGTTGATGTTCCCAAGTCTTCTCTTGAATTTTTCCTGTTAGTTTTTTTATTTTTATAAAGTTCTAATCAATCATATTGTGATTGACTTACAGTGAATCTGGCTGGTCCATGGATAATTCTACTTCTAGTCCTAGTGTAGTTCAAAAATTTGGTCATAAAGATAAAAGTGTAAGTTTTGCTGTATGTTTAGTTCTTCACCTGTACCATGCAAAAGAACACACATCAAATTTTTTCACCTTTTTTATTCTCTCTGAGCATAACATATCAAAGACTTAAATAATTTATTTTTGTTAAAAAATCTAAAGCTTTTTCACTCTCTCAATTTCATTATTTGATCATGTATGAAATCACTTAAGCAACCATAGAATTTGCAGTTTGCCTTTGATAGGATACTTTTTTTGCAACAAAGAGGAAAAATGTATAGTCTCATTTATGCCTGGTTGCTTTTCCAAAATATTAGGATTGTGAACAAGTGGATACCCTCTTTGTCATCCTAATGGAATTTGTCTCAAAAAGTTAATCTGCCATGCTTTTCAATTTACATGTATTGCCTTCATTTTAAGGATTGTAATTATCGCAGAACCTAAATGCATGTCATAAATTTTGAGACTTTTTTAGACACCTCAGTAACCTTGAGAATTTTAATTGTAAGCGCAGGTTTCTGTCCTTTCCACCTTTCTCTAATTGTGGTCCTTGGTCACCTGACGGGTCGTCTCTCTTTGTTTTAGTTTGAGTAATAAAAATAATTCCACTGGTTATACCTCATTATATTTCAACTTACAAATAAAGTAAATTTGGACGTATTCATAATAAAAGGAACTATGTGCATAGGGTTTGCATGTAACATAGTTCCTTTCAGCATAAATACTTCCATTTGTCCTAATGACAAGAAGCATTAATTTCTTTAATTTTGTTAAGATGGAACTGTGAATCATCCTGGGCTCTCGTATATGTAAAAATTAGTTGTAAAAAGACAATATTTTTTTCTTTCTTCGTGAACAGTATATGGAATTAGAACTCAAGTCTTTAAAAACTGCTAACCGAAAAGGTCATTAATACAAATTTTCTGATCTACTTCTCCAGTCTTACTCCATTCACTGGTTGATAAAGATAATATTTTGTTTGTAAGTTGTTACCTGTTAATTTTATGTATCTGCATAGATTTCATAAACTGTGCTTTTATCTCTTTGCAGACAAAGCCGGTAGATATGACTTGCTCACTATTGCAAGATTTCAAAATTAGTGTCAAATCGTAAGTATTCTGAATTAACTATATCTTTAGTTTTTTCAAGAAGAATATCTGCAGCTGAGTGCATTGCATATAGTCTTCACTTTATTACTTACATTTGTTGCGGCTGTTACCTTTCTGCCTTATCAAAAATTTTGGAGATTTGAGATTTAGATGCTTTATTGCAGTAGACTTAAGAGTGTCAATAATTAATTAATTGCATGCTGTTCAGAGCTGCTTGTAAAGTCTCACAAAGACTGCATTGCACTCAAATTAAAGGTAAATTCTAAGCTTCTGCCTCTTTTGATCAGTATGTCCACAAATTAGAAACCACTATTGGGAGTAATTGTCTACCTTTTCTTCAAGTCTCAGCCTTGTACCCCATATTATTCATTGTTCTTATTCAGGATCAGTCATTTGATCACAATTTAGTAAACATTTTTGATGCAGGTGCAATATTGGGGACGAAGTAGTAGTGCTGTGGGATCCTGTTCATACTAACTATGTTATTTATCAAGTCACAAGCAAGCTCCATTTTCTGCATCCTGATTCGCTAGCCATGTTAGATTTGAAAACTGAACCTGGTAAGCCATGTCAATAGACATCATTTTGTACGCTTTGTAAGTTCTAAAGTTTTGATGTTATCCATTGTCTTAACATGTAATGATATTTTTGGAAAAGCAGGGTATGTTTGTCAGTTCTGTTTTTGAGTGCTTTTGTTGTTACTGTCATTTGAGCAGTTTTTGTCTGCTTGAAAATACTTCATCAGAGTCCATGGCATTAATTAAGGTCAGATCAGATTTTCAAAGTTCCAGCTGTTTTTAGGGAGAATAATGTTCTCCTAGTGGGGGACTTTTTTTAACCTGCATCTCTTTTGTTTTTAACAACCTTCTCCACATTACTCCCCTCTATCTCAGTTCTGTCCACCTATTGACTTGAGTTTTCAAAGCATAGCAGGAAAAAAAACTCTGGTGGTTTTGAATTCTCCAGAGACTTGTTAAGATTTGATGCTCAATAAACATGCCAAAATTTTGAGTTCCTTAAAAGTATTTCAACTGCTACTATTTTTCCGATCATGTCTTTAAATTGACTTTGTGTAATTTGTATTGCAAGGCCAGTACACACATTTTAACTTGTTGAGGTGCTCATTACATAAAGCCACATAAATTTATTTTCAAAATAAAATATAAGAACCACTCTTGTAGCTACATTCTTAGATTGCTCAGACTACTCAAAACGTAAATTAGAGTCATTAGATCAGTATCTTTTCAAATTAAAAAAGAATCTATGATGGAGACAAATTAGTCAAGTTTGTTCATTTTTATTTTACAGATCACTTGCCCGAGAAACTATTCATCATCGCATTAGTTATTGAAAAGGAACATTGCGTTGCCAGAAAGGTGAGCTACATTATAAAGTGAAGTCATTTCATTTCATCTTATTTGATCATTATTCCTTAGCATTGCTCCTTGAAAATGAATCACTCAGTTTCAAACTGTAAAGTATTCAACAGAAAGAGAGCCAGTCCATAGCAACACTGTATATTGCTATGAGGACAGATCTAACCAGAATCTGTCTAACTGTATTCATGACTGCTTTGTGTCCTATCTTTTAATTTTTCCCAAGAAAATTCAGCAACGTTTTGCCTTAGAATTTTGTGATTGCCTATATTTTTTACATACAATCAAAGAGATATCCACCAACTTTCAAAGAACCACGTTGTTCAGTTTTTGGTGGGAAAAGTATGAGAGAGAAAATTAAGCAAAATCTGATGTAGTTAGACCAATTAAGGTTTAATGTGATCATTAGTGTTGCAAAGCAGTAATTCTCTTTTTATAGCACTGCCAGGTTCATATAATGGAAATTTCCTGTAGAAATTGAATTTAAGCTAATCGAATCTTAATTTGAAATAATTCTCCATTATTTTGAAGTCCTTGAAACAACTTTGATTGTAAAAAAAAGTTACTTAAATCATTTTCGAAGCTCTAATTCACAATAATTCGTGAAATTTTATTTGATACTTGTTGTTTGATTCGGGTTCAAAAATCCAGGTTTGCATCCCCTCAAAAGTAACCAAAGTACTTTCATTTAAACCAAATCAAAGCTTCATCAAAGACATCGCCCTGTCCAATTACTGTAGTGTTTTTTTTTTTAAAGATTAAGTAACAAAAAATTCTGTTTTTAATATTTTCAGCCATCAAACCGGTACCGAGTGAAAGTAGGAGAAAAGTTTTATAGAGTGAAAGTCACACCAACGCAAGCGTTTCTTAAAAATCAGCCGCAGAGCAGTCAGTGATTCATACTAGAGTGTAGAATCCAATTCTCAGATAGAATCAAAGAAATCTTGTAGCGATTTCTTTAAATATTGTTAAATGTCTACTTAAGTCACTAAATTACTTTCCAAAATGAATATGGCAACATCATGAAAAAATTGTGATATATTTTTTTTTACCTGATTGCCGTTAAGTAGGTAGTTTTAAGGCACTTTCTTTATGGATTCAGTGATTCGTACCAGTACTCAAGATTAGTAGTTTGACTGATGTTTTTATTATTTTTGACTGTCACCTATCTTGGTCTCAGTGTTGAAGATTTATGCAATGACAATGGTTTTTGTATATCATCAATAATTTCATGCATCTTTCCCTGCCTTTTATTTGCTTTTTGTTGAGAAAGGGAGAGAATTTTTGTAAAAGGAAGTAAGTACCTACAGAAGAAAATTCTAATCTTCAAAGAAAAGTAGAAAATAGTGAGAGTAATTTTAAGATTTTGTTTTTTTCTCATTGATTTCAATTTTGTTTGGTTCGTCGTCCTTTCTTTTTCTGTTCTTTCACAAGGAAAAAATGAATGTATTTCTTGTTTAAAAGTAGTCTAAGGAATGCAACTGTCAACTTTGAATTATAAGTACCTTTGATTAAGCATGTAGAATGCTCTTTCATAACAGTAATCAAATTTGAATAAAAAAAAGTGCACTTGTATTTCATAAATTAAAGTGGGTCATAAATTCAATTTGAATTGCCATCTCTCTAGAATATGATTTTCCCTCTGTTATTTTACGATTGCAATGTTTAGTCATTCAATTCAATCTTCATAATTTTGTTCTCCTTAAAATGATTCTCCTAGGTAAGTTTTTTCAAGTGATGTTAATATTGAACCTGATTTAAGTTTAGGCAGTCCTTCATGAGTCATCAAATTGTACAATTTTCTATAGATTTTTTTTTCCTATTTTTGGTTTGTGAATTTTAATCATCAATGTATCGATTATCAATCACTCCTTAGCGTTGTTTTCCCCCTGATTATTTTAAGTAAATGATGAAACAAATAAACCATCTTGTTTTTATCTTCTTTGTTTTTTCTTTAGTAATCTATATGTATAAGGTTCAATATCACTGTGCGTTCGCTCAGTTTTATGTAGGTACTTACATAGTACTGTATGATACATGTGCATAGATGCATTAGAAAGGAGTCACCATCAAATCCTCAAAGTGAATTGAAGGAAAGAATGAAATTACATCCATTTTGATAGTTCAGCTATTTTGAAAACTCATTTTGGTAGGTATCCGTTATGTTAAATTTTTCTCTTGATTAAAAGATTTGTATTTCTTACAAAAAGTAAGAAATAGAATAAGGTATCAATCAATACAATCTGCCATCTGGAAGGGAACACCTATGAAGAATTTGTTGACAAGCCCATTTATTGAGCGTTCTCGTGCTATTGATGGCGATTCTAAATTTATTTCAAAACAGCGTTAGGTACATTTCTAGAGACTTTTTTTCCCCCTTGTTGAAAGGTCTACCTTTCATGATCATGAAAATGTTGCTTAAGCGACATTTCAGGGATAATGAAGTCATGAATTATTTTGAGTTGAGGCAGTTTTAAATTATCATGTGTGGAATATAGACATCTCACCCTCTTATTCTCAAAACAGGGCTTGGGCTTTTTTTAAGCCTTAGGGCCTCAGTTTTAACTGAAACCCTATTTTTTCGAAATTTTCTGAAATGAGTCAAGACGCATTTGTCCGTGTTATTATTACTTACACTTTGTAAGTAAGGAGCGCAGAGAGTTGAGTCTTGTACAGGGGGTGGCAATAAAGCCTGGATATTTCTCCATGACTCAAAACTTCAGAGACTCTTTTCATGGCAGAATAAGATCCCGTAAAACAATTTTCGTTTAGGTCATTTTTTGTACCTCCTCAGAGGCAAGAAAAAAATGACTCTTGACTTCCAATCATCACTTTAAGAACCTTAAATATTTTAACTCTTTTGTTTACTTATTTGAGCTGTTATTGATACGAGAGGTCACAAAAATATTTAATTATTCAATTTTAGTCATTTAATTAAATAATTGTTAAATATTATTATTATCATTATTATTAGTTTTATTGAATTATTGTATTTAAACATTTCATTCATTGAAGGTTTAATTTGTTACTTTACCTGATATAAATTAAAGTGAACAATGATAAAGTAAGAAGTCTTTGAATAAATAAACGTTTAATTATCAGTAAAAGTTTAATACGTAAACATAAGAGTTAAAATATTTAACGTTTTTAAAGTGATGATTGGAAGTCAAGAGTCATCTTTTTCTTGCCTCTGAGGAGGTACAAAAAATGACCTAAACGAAAAACGTTTTACGGGATCTTATTCTGCCATGAAAAGAGTCTCTGAAAATTGAAGGGTCAAATTTTTATGTGGTTGCCAAGTCACTGAAAAACACCGTCAAAAGTCGCTGAAAAGTCGCTAAAAATCGTGTTTTTCTGATTTGGTAAGGGCTCCGCGTAGGTACAAAAACATTCCCCCGCAAAATAATTATTATATCCTCTTATTCCACTATAAAAATAGTCTACGAAAATTGAAAGCCCGATTTTTTACATGCTTGCCAAGTCTTCCAAAAAACTGGCGAAAATCGATGTGATTTCGACCAAATCGAGCGCTCCGGCCTAACTGTGAGCTCGCAAAAGGGGGAAAAACCGCCCGCATCCAAAATACTAATATTTTCCCTTATTATTCATAAGAATGATTCCTGAAAACCGAAAATTGACTATTTGCGTGGTTGCCAAGTCACCTAAAAGATCGATAAAATCCTTGATATATACGAGGCGCATTCGGCCGCAATCGCGTTTTTTGCATTTTTAAGGGCATGTGGGGGCCACAAAAAATATGTTGATCTAAAAACTGATCAGCACGCCTTAAATGACTACTAGGAGTGAGTTAATACTCTAAAAATCAGGGCTCTAGCCAATCTCCATCATGCTTAAACAGTGCGATGGAATCGGGAAAAACAGCTTGAATCTCGTGATTTTTTGACACTGCAGAAGTGGCACCCCAAGTAATTTTTCTTTCGAGGAACGCTTTGGCACCCTCTAATTTGATGCCTAGGCGAAACTTTTCCCCCCTAAAATTTTTGAATTTTTTTTTTTTTTTTAATTTATTCATTTTATTTTTGTCAAGATAGGCACCTAAGTCATTTATTTAAATAAAATCGATGACAGAATAGCTATAATAATAACTAGTATATAATAAGTAATAACCATAATAAGTAATAACTATAGTAATAGATGTTAAGTAGAGATATAGCTTAAGTATATGGTGAAGTATTATAGTATTGTAGTAACATTTTTGAAATTAGAAAGTCGATGTTTTTTGACTCGCCTTTAGGCCACATGGGCCGCGGCCCGCGGAGGCAACTTTTGCAATTTGTTTAAATGTACGTATAGTAAAAATCGGATTCAGAAAGAAAATGACAAACGAAAAAAAGAGGCAAAATAGCTCATTTCCTGAGAGTACAAGTAATTTCTAATCTTGTCGTCTTTCGTTGATACAAGAGACAGCACCTTAAAATTAGTCGAGTAAAGAGGGAAACCGCAATTTGGCTTGGAGCGGCGCGGCGCAGAGAGCAATGATGACGAGAACTTGAGATGAAAAGGAGAAGTCCTCGGCGCGGCGCGGCGGTTGGCATGCAACACATGTTAGCGCCTACAAGACTGCATGAATACTTCACGCATTGCGTCAAATACAGTGCGTTCAGCAGTGGTCGGCGTGAAACGCATAGCGCCTACAAGACTGTAGGAATACTTCACGTATTGCGCCAAACACAGTGCATTCAGCGCGGCGCGGCGGCGGCAGTTAAAATTATTAAGCCACATTTGTGTTTGTTCTTTCATAATTTTTTCGTTAATTTCTCATAAATGGAAGGTTGTGTCCACACAGAGATAGGTTTACGGAACTTGACTTTCGCGACAAGTTCCGTGAACTTTTGCTAGTAGTGTTTACAGGGCTTTCACAAAAAATGTGTCCAACACGAGTAAACGCGTCTTACGTACCCCTCCCCCTCCGGCACGTTCTGTTGATGGTTTTCATTGATGTCTCAAAACGAATTCGAAGGAGGCGGCAAAATACAGGCGGCCCATGGACGGCAAGTGGGTAAATCTGGCCCTGGTTACTACAGCATGTTTTTTTTGGTATATACAGGGTGTCCCAAAAGTCCGTAGGTACCCCCCTCGTAACTTTAGAACGGTTGAAGATAGAAAAACGAAACTTTGGGAATGTTTCTCTCTTAAAGGAGACCATCTCCCAGGGGGGTCAAAATTGTTGTCCCCCCTAAGGGGGGGGGGGCTCGGGGGCCCCCAACTTTTTTTTTTCAAATGGTAACCCCTATCTTGTGATACCTCATTCAAAAGAGCATAGAAAACTAAGAATTTTGGCGCAAACCGCAAAATCAATATCTTAATTTTTGACCGAGTTATGATAGGTCAAAGGTCAAATTTGACCTATTTTCAAAAAATCATATCTCCGGTTCAAATTATCGTAAAGAAAAAAATAAAACGGGAAAATTTACCAAATTGTAAGCACTTTCAAGTAAAAATCACAGAAATTACTTCAAACTAATTTTAAGGGGGGTTTCGGACCCCCAAATACGTCATTTTAAAGGTCATACGATATTGTCGCGAAATGAGCCAATTTCCCCTTACTTTTCCTTTACATTATCTTTGTAAGTTCAAAATCAGTTCAACATTGCGTTTTTAAAGTCCCCAAATTTTAGGCGAAGTTCAAAAAACGAAAAAGGTGAGTTAATTCAACCATTTAAATTTCATTTTTTTTTTAAAACTTTGCTCGAAATTTGGGGACTTCTATTGATTGGGGTTGTTTACTCGGATATACCTACCGTGTTTGTAAAAAAAAAACGCGTAGATGAATTTTTATTAAAAAATCCTCCAATAAATTGAAAAAAATCAATTGTTAACTTAATTTACGTTAGGCACTTGTAAATTTTTATTAATTTTACCGGTTTTTATTTTGAGAATATTAAGTTTCGTTAAAAATCTCTAGAAATATTCGACAGAAAGCGGTTAGTGGGGCAACATTCGTTATTGGTTAACGTATGGATTGCAACTAAACTTAAATATCGGCCCCTTGGCGAAAGAGGTTGTTCCATCCCCCATTAGATTTGGCCCCCTATCAAATATGATCCATCTTTTCAGGAGTGATACAGTAGCATGCGAGACGTTCAAATATGGCGGTCATTTTGACTTAGGCCCCCCCAGAGAGGGGGGGCGGGGGGTCAAAGACAAAACCTTCAACTGCCTATAACTTTTGAGCGAAAAATCGGATTGAGTTGAACTTTTTTTTAAATGAAAGATCTCAAAAAGATCTATCTGCTGATACCAGAAAAATTGAAAAAAAGTTAAATTTAGTGCAAATTTTAAGCAATTTTTCGATTTTCAAGGAGACAAAATTTTCAATTTTGTCGTGTTTCGGCACCGCGCAATGACTCTACTAAAACAAAAACCAGTTTTTTAGATTCTATACTCGATTTCCTATAAGATGCAAAATACCGCATCTTGGGGAAACGTTTAGATCGCGAGCTATGGCTTGTCAAAGGTAGCCCCGCGCTGTTCGCATATCCTCCACGCGTCTAGGCCACCGATCCTGTTGCCCCTCCTCCCCCATCCTAAATGCAAATTAACATTCTACTACCCAGCTTTCGTATATATCTGCGTTATAGGTACGTGAAAATTTCAGCAAGTTCGTGATTTCCAGTGGAATTGATACTTTATTTCCCCCCCCCCCCCAACCCGGCCACTGTGCTCCAAATATTGTGCAAAAAAGAAATATATAAATTTTCTTGTTTCATGTTTTTGCTGATGTAGCACCCTGTGACTACGAGATCGAATTGAGGTAATTTTTTATCCCACCTCCCAACCACTTTTCGGTGTATTGAGCGTTTACCATTCATGAGAGGCCGACATTATTATGGGTATTCATAATAGGCTGCTGAGGAATTAAAAAATATTTCGCACGATTTTTCTCCACATAGCTTTGAGAAATATAAAATGATTT